TCATAGTAGTACCATTTCATTCCAAGTGTACCATAGAGAAGCAACAATTGGCGCAATAGGTATTGTTTAAATTATCAACTTTGTGCAAGTTTGCTTTTGTTCCTGCAAGACACTATCTGCATTCGTTGTGCGACTCCCTCCCCTCCCCCCTCCCCCTCCAGCCTTACATAATCCAACCTAAATACCAAAGAAAGAGAGAAGTGCATTCCAGCCAATAAACCCCGAGCATCAGGTTTCGACTTTACAATTACCTACTTTCCGTGGTCTACTTTTCCCATTTCCAGCCATCTAGAGGCTGTTGCCATGATCATAAATTACCCCCAGCCCCAACCACGGTGACACTGAGGTGGGTGAACCCCCCATCTCTGAAAGTCCCTCCCTGGACACCCTCTATTTAGAATTTCAGAATCTATCACTCATGGCCTCCTATTATTCTCTGACATAATTATTATTAATGATTTTACATTTTTGCTATTCTATTTTTGTTTTTGTTTTTTAGATCTACTACATGACTGGTCAAGCAAAGGAGGACAGGATTTAATGATGTTTGTGCCATACACTATGCACTGCAACTTCACATTAAACAAGTTTGAACTTAACCTTATGTGCAATGAATATAACTGGATGGACTGCAGCTCCCCTAACCTTGATAATAGTAAGTGTCAGCAACAGAAGCAGTAGTCTCACATGCAGTGGCATATCAAAGGAAGTGCGTGGTGGTGCGCACATCCCCGAAAAAAAAGCCTGCTCCCCCAAGTCATCCCATTGAAAATGTGAGGTCTTAATACAAAATGAGTCTCATCATTAGAAAATCCAAAAATGAGTTTTTATTACATTTTGAGCATTTACATTAGATTATAAGCTTTAATTTGGTGTTTGAATGGCTTCCCTAGGATAAATAGATCCAGAGATGTGAGCATTTAAATTTTAGGTGTATGAGAACCAGATTTTGAGAAAATCGGCCTCAAAGATTAACTAAGCTGTACAAATAATAGGACTAGAATTACAGAATATGCGAAGAGAACACTGTTTTAGTAAGAAAATTCACTTAAAAAGTACACAATCATAAAATATAAGTATCAAGTTATTCAAAAACATTAAAATCAAAATTTTGTAAAAATGATGCCTTTGACCTATTTTGGTGAATATCTCAATATGATTTCACCAACGATGCGTCTCATTTCATGTTCAGACCTCACACATGTCCGAACTCTATTTTGCAACCAAGCGCACCTCACTTGATCATTGAGCCCCTTATATGCCACCTTCATTCCCCCCCCTGTCTCTTATACACATCTAGATGTGTATAAGAGACAGTTACAGTATTCTGTTAATTAGAAATAAAATTTTATTTTTAACAAAATCGTGATTAGTTTTTGATTGAATTTTTTTTTTCTCCTTCATCAGCTTGTATAGCTTTTAATGGGGAACAGATGGACGTTTCCTTGGTCCTTCCATTCTCAGATTTTTTACCAGTGGTTGTACCAGTGAAAGTTATTTTCAAGGTAGGTTTATTTTTTCAGCAGGAATCTACAACTTCATTTTGTTAACAAATAGTTAACAATCCTGAAATAACTAAGTTTATTTTTCTTAAAAGTAAGAAAATTTGGCAAATCACAAACGTAAAGTGTGTGTTTATATTTTTGGATTTCTATATATTTTTAACTGGTGGCCACGGCTTAAAGTTTTATTCTAAACTTATGTTGGCCTCCATCCACACACTTAATCTGTAATGTACTATTATTCTTAGTTGGTTTTACTATTAAGCTTTTGTTATGTATGTTAATATGTTCATGTGTGTGGAGAAATAAATTAAACAAACAAACAAACAAACAAACAAAGAGTCAAGTTTTTTTTAAGGATATCTTTACTAATTCTTGCCACTTGTTTATCTGAATAATATATTAAACTACTTGTTAAAATTGATTTTAATTATTGAATAATATCGAACCTTGAGGTAGTTGTTATGTTTAGCTTTAATATAAAGTATGCAATATTGAGAGCTGCTTTGATAGTTTGTGTACTTACGGCAATCCTCAGGGTATTGTATTTTCATTGCATTGTTTTTGTTGTATCAATACCTGGAAGTTAAATAAATAAGTTTAATTTTTTTCACCCAAGGTTGGACCAGTTACTGGCTATCTATACATTCCTGAGAGTTTCAGCAACTATCACACTTTAATTGGAATTGACCAAGCTACCAATAGCCATGTACAATGGCCTGTACCTCGACCTGATTGGTTCTCAATTACAAATAAGTAAGTGTGTCATTTTGTTGTTAGTCTAGCTTCCTTAGCAGTG